AGAGATTCACACGAGGTCTATACAAACAAAAATCTTACAGCAACAGTGCTCTTTGGCTCATACCGTTACCCTTATTTAACTGATGTGATAACTGAGGCAGAAACATATTGAACTTTTTGTCCAAGGTCACACAGTGAGGTCAGGAATGGAGCTAAAGCAGACTCCAGCTCTTTCAGTTCACCGCTTTGTTTTAAACCATCTAATCTCCCTTTTAGCTCTCTGGCGTCGATGCAAAAGTACAAAGACTCTTAACACACTGTTACCCTTAAAATTGCAAATCCCCAATGTAAAAAGAATGTAGGTTAGGATCTAAAGCAAGTATACGAATATCCCTTTTCAGCCCACTGGATGCAGAAATATTGCAGCACGTCCCACCACGTCAATAATATCTCACAGCAGAAGGTACTTGAGTCACTTTTAGCGTACTGCCAATCCTAACTAAAAGCTCTTAAGACTACTAAAAGTTATGCAATCAGCCAGGAACATGTAGCTGATATAGACTCCTGGAATCATGTTATAACCAACCTTTTCATTTGTGTATGAAGAAAGTTCAAAAGAAAGGTAAAAATAAAAAAATAAAAGCAATATATCTAATTTCTACAGCATTTTACAAGTGTCTTACAAATACTAAGTAATCACCTCAACAATTCCATGACAAAACGTTACCAGCAGCTATTTCAACACAGAAGCTGCATGAAGAAGATGTGAAAACTGAAGCTGTAGCTTCAGGCATAAGTAATAACAAAAGGCCTCCAAGTGCTCCAGAGGCCAAAAATATACAAACACCAATCAAATGAAACACTGATGCCAGCAAGTGCAAGCAGCAACAGGATTCCCTGGCCACCATCCCCCTGTTCCGAAGTTGAGGTTTTCTATGATAGCCTTTGCTTCCTGATCTATGTGAAACAATGTCAAATCAATGCAAACAGTTCGTGGGTTTTTTTTCGTACCACACTTAAACAAAACAGCTTTCTTGATAGTGCACACCATGCTGCATTTACCCCTACCCCTCCAAGCATTTTCATTTCTTTACAATGAAGAAGAAGAAATATAGCTTCTTTTCTGTTGAACTTTGGTCACAGTTAGCAACTCTTACTTCTAAGTGATAGTGTGCATCAAAAGTTCAAAAGGTTTGTGTTCTGTATTAATCCGATTTAATTAAATTTTTAACTCCTCTTCCTAGCTTTCTAGAGCAGTTACCTCTTTGCCATAGGTGTAACTTTTTTTTCTCTTGATGTCAGAACTGCACCAGTAGAAACTGAGTGAAATAGCACCTAGCACAAAAAAAGGTAATTTAACAACATGCATAACAAGATTTGATAGTATATTTTGAAAAAGGGCTTAAGTGATTCAGACACACCATGGAAAATCAGTGGAACTCAAAGTCATTTCAGGAATCCCATTCCTGTTTGAAATTTAAATATCCAAATAAAAGTGCTCAGCTGCTCATAGGATCTCAAGATCTCAAACTTCCTGGCTTTGGGTGCATAGCAGAAGCTGTGGGTGCTTCCCCTCCTTGAAAAGCTACAGACTTGTGTGGAATTCAGAGATCTTTTTTAAACAGTCCTTATTAACATTGTAAAGAAACAGTACTTTCAAGATGGGCATCAGAATGGCCTGCTGGCCTTTTATAGGGGTGCTGCAACAGTAAGTAAAGCGTAAATACCTGTTTATTATAGCAGATGTGGAGAGAGTTTTCCATTTCTAAGCCCTACATGCTAGCCACAGAGGCATTCCAGGACAGAGAGAACGAGGCGCAGAGCGACACCAAGAGCAAGTCACACGAGTAGTCTGGGACCTGGCTGTGAGGAACAGCTAAGATAGAGGCTGCAATCGGAAGACAAGAAAAACAAGCATCACGGCTGATTTGCAAGATTACAGAAAGGCCTCAGATGAGACCACCAAAGACACAAAAAAAATCCAGCTGCACTCCAGGAGCTTAAACCTAGTGTAATTAAAGATGCTGACAGTTCATCAAGAGTGCAGTGACCCAGCCAGCCACCCACTAGAAAAGTGCCAGTGTACAACAAGAATGAAAGCAGCAGCAAGATCTGCAGAAAAGCATTTCTCCTAGTGCATATGCTATCCACCGGGGACAAACGTTCCACAAGCCTGCAACCTCTGACACTGAGCCCTTCAATCAGGTCACAGTAATTTTGAGAGTGAGCATGTCCAGCACAGCTCCTTACAGACAAGTATCTATCCCACTGCCTGCTTTCCAGATTTGATAAGCTGTTCATACACTACTACAAAGAGGCTCAAAACATGTTTTTGGTTAGTAGTCTTCCCTACTACCACGAGAGGTTTTAGTAAAGTATTTATAAGCTGGTTTATAATGAAGGGTATTTTCGGCAGAAAGCTTTACTGACCTGCAGTGCTAACAAAATATTCCCCAGTTACAGAAAATAGCACAAAGTTCCATTTCATTTTTAGCATTGTACACTTGGCATAAATTGCTAGCTTATTAAAGTATAATCCTCAAAATGGAACAACTCTAATTCTTTCTTCAGCCCTAAACATCAAGGGACTTGGACAAAAGCAGACCTATTTCCAAAAGACATCATGCTTTGATTTGGGAAAATTTGTATCACCTCTTTTTGGACGCCTTTTATTGAAGTGTACCCCAACTGCCTCCCTGCAAAACCAAGAACAGACTGAAAGGGCTGTTAACATTCACACCCAGTTTAGATATCTGACTTGCCACAAAGTAATTATAACGTTTGCTATGTATCTAAGATATAATTAACAGCACACGTGATTGGGAGAGATTGATTATATAAGTCAAATTCCAACACCTTTACTCACTTCAAACAGCACCTTGCTTTGAGAGTAATCACAGGTATTTCAACGGCAATACCTGCCAAATAGGGTACTATTTAACAAGAGCCAAAGTGACCCAATCAGGTACATTTTGTAGTAAACTTGCTCTTAACCTGTGTTTATAAACAGGCTGTACAGACATCAGGATCTAGCATATATAAACAAACAAACAAGTTGCAGAGATCCAGATCTCTCAATGATAATGCACTATTTGCACGACACTCAGATTTACTTTAACCACTAGAATATCAAGTCCATGGTATCTTCATGGTCCATATATAACCTTGCTAGATAATGAAACTGCTGTTATATGGTTTCTGCTACCCCTATTTGAGATAGATAATGTAACCACAAAGTTCAGTTGTGAGCTTCTCTGACAATTCCGGTTGGGAATGACAAAAGACTATTGAGATACCTTACTCCCTTCTTCCTCAAGGACAAGCTACAAACACTATCTGAAGAGACAGATACATTTCAGGCAAAGATCACTCTTGAAAGCAGCTGTAGTTACTGTACATACGCTTTATGTGCCTGAAGAATCAATTAATTTGCAATTCTTACAGAAAACAGTAGACAGAAATATATAACACAGCTGCCTGTCTTCCAAACATACCATTAGTGTATACCATTAGTGTAACTGCTAAACATATCATTAGTGTATACCATTATTGTATACCATTAGCGTAACTGCTATGAAGTCAGTTGTCCAAAACTTACAGCCGCCTGCTTCCACTAGAAGCAGGAGGGTACTCATTTTCACTTCACAAGTCACACAGTTAACCATTAAAAGGGAAACACAAACAGCATAGGCAGGTCACTAGCAAGAGATCTGAGAGACAGGAATTTAGTTCCCTCCTCTGCTGTTTTCTTGTGCTACCCAGAGAAAGCCATCAGTTTATACATCCCTCAGTTCCTCCGCTCATCAGCAGTTCCTTCGGTCACACACGTTGGATGGCTATGACAGAGCTTTTCCTGTGACGTAGTAAGGAAAAATAGAGAAATTCCCCTTGTATAGGTACACTTGTCTTTAATAACCTAAAGCAGCTGTGATGTTTGCAAGCATATTTTGATTTTAACGTATCAGGCATTAAACAAGCAGAAACATGAAAAGGATATAATAGGCCCAAATAAAACAACTGCATCTTTAAAAGTTTTGAAGACCAGAAACTTTAAACATGGAATTTGAAACAAAACTGAAACCACCATATTGTGTACATTACTACTGATATACCATCCTGCAGTTAAAACTAAGTCAGATAAACAGGTCTGCTTACAAGATGCTAACCCAGCAGAGAAACATTTGTATGTTACCAAACAGAAGGGGAAAAAAAGGTTTGGATAATGCCTTTAACTTGTGCTTTCTGTAATGGAAACTCTGGATCTGAAGAAAGATATATCCTGAACAACTTGTTCTCCCCTTCAAATATTAATCTGTGTGAATTTTTTCCATGGAAACTGGTAAACCCACTCAGTCTGCAACTAAAACATCAAATCATAACCAAAAAACATACAAACCCTGACCTCATTGCCTCCATCTTGATATTTCACCTCATGGCTTCTGTGTTGTATAGCAGCCTTCATTGTTTAACAAAAAACTGCAAACTTTTTGAGACAGCACTTATGCTTGTCTCCAAATTGCACACAGTATCATGCATATCCAATTAGTCACCTCAAGAAATGAAAAATAAAAGCTAGAAGCATTAGCATAGCAAACAGGTACGAGAACTTTTACCCCCTTTTTTTGTTCACTTCCTTCTGAAAAACAAAGGAACCAATTCTCCTTTTACAGTTTCATCCTAGGAGAATGCCAGACTGCAGTGGACTAACATTTGATTTACACTGGCATGCACAAGCAATAACTATTTGTTCCAGGGCTCTGAAGCCTTGTGTTAGAATATTTATGAATCTTTAACAGAGATTTTTGCCTAGATAGCTTTCCTTTCACACAAATACCATCACGGTATTTTATCATCTGGTTTAGGTAAGATCAGAAGAGTTGCTAGAGGATTTGCAAATTGGTCCACTAAGACTAGCATTTGACCTCCATAATAAGGTAATGCTTACATGTTTTCAAGGAATGCAGCAGGTACATGGCAGCCATACCACACCGCAATATTTTAATTCACATAGACAGCACATCAACATTTTAAGTGTTCCTTATCACTCAAGCAAGTACTTACAGGGTCAGAAGGACCACAGAAGTCTCTGAACACTTTTGGAGGCTCGGGTTGTATAATCTCCATTGCTATGCAAGGGCCTGAACACAACTCTGTAACCATCTCCTAGAAGAGAAAAAAAGACAGGAACAAATCTGAGCTTCTTTGGGCATTAGCAAGGGTTGTATTCCTTCCCAAAACTAGACCCAAACTTACAGGACAGGAACAATTAAGAAATATTGGTGCATTTAGGAAAGCAAAGACATGAAAGAAAGATGTCATTAGTATTCACAACAAAAGAAATGTTTTCCGTTTTGCTACTTGATTTAGAAGGTGGAGATTGAGGTAAATTGGATATTCAGCTTCAACAGGATACTGAATAGCACGCAACAGCATCCACAATACTTTAAATACTTTCACGGGTACATCATTATTGATCTGGACCTGGATTTCACAGAAGTATCCCATAACTTGTCAAACTAGACTGAATCAATGGAACACACTTTGCTGGGTATAAGCCTGAAAAACCACACTATGTTCAGCCAGTTCCACAGGCAGCAATGTACTTTGCAGTGTTCCCTACAGGGAGCATGGTACACAGCCTATCTCTGTTTCCAAATATACACCCGTTTGATGGCTTTAAGTCATTAAAATGTCTCTTGGACTTTTGGTTCTCACTGTCTTTTCCTCACGTATTACTACAGAAGCTGAAACACACAAGCCAACAAAACACAATTGAAAGGGGCCTGTGGCACAACCTGTTAGGGAAAGGGTCCTTGATCTGGCAACATTCTTGTGGTGTACTGTTACCAGAATCTCAGTTACACCAAAATCATGTTCCCCTGGACCCTCCGGGAGCATAAAGAGACATCGTGAGTTCTGAGTGGGTGATGAAAATGGGTCTTAGTTTTCATAAGCTTAAATTAACTCTGGGCATTAGTCCCAATTTGGAGTTTGTTAATTAGAGGTATAGGTTTCACAAGCAGAAAGAACCTATTTTGATGTTCTAGTCTGACTTCCTTTTTTAAAACATGCCCTCATAATTGCATACTTGTCTAGAAATTTGGGCAGACAAGTTTTGAACAAATCAGGACAATTAAAAGAATCAAAAGCAATGAGGAAAGGGGAAAGGAGAAAACATTCACAGGAAATAAGGGAGGACAGGAAAGGACAAGCAAGGTACTGCAATCACACCCACCAGCCATGGGCAGGTCAAGGATGAGCCATGGCAAAGAACAAGAGCATAGAGAGTGGGCAAAAAAGCGGTAGGAAAAGAAGGATTAAGTCCTTCTCTGCCTTTTATGAATTGTGATGGAAATTAAATACACAAAGACTCCAAGTCAAGCAGCATTGTTCCAAAGAGTTGGTATCTTCATAACGGATTCCACATTGAGAGCATGTGCTTAATCTCTCCACTCTGAAATTAACGGGGCAGAATTCTAGCGAAGTGCGTCTATCATCAACCTGATCCTAGGAAATGTAGGTAGAAGTATTCCTGAGAGGACATGAAAAGAGTGCAGACTAGTTTCATGCTCTACAACATGAATAAATATTTTAATTCCAAAAACTGTCTTATCACCAATGGATCCTCTGTTAAGAACAGGTCAAAGGGCAATATATTTCATTGTGTTAAGAAACAGTAAATTGCCACAAAGTCACTACTCTGTACAATTTCACTGAATTCTGTCATCTAAATAACTGTTAACAGGGAAGTAGAGAAAAAACCAGGCTTTTAACTTTAGTTGAATCAACTGAATTCCTCTCTGCAAACTGTGTTTTTTCTTGTTCCTCCCTTCTCTATTGTTTCTGTATCAGCACTGACATCCCACCAGCAACAGCAACCAACGTGAGCAAAGTTACTCCTGACTCCTTCATTACAACACAAAGCTGAGGACTGAAGACCAGGTGCCATCAACTACAGCACAGAGGCACGTGGTACTATGTGAGACAAGCTTGGTCTACCTTACACAGCCTCATCAAGTCCAGAGTTGAATTTAAACAGCAGACACTTTTTCTCTGGCAAGACTCCCAGTTACAGCTAAATCAAATTTTCTTTTTTATCAAATAGTTTATTCGTTAAATAACATGGCTTGTGGTCAACCAAAACCATTCCTGGAGCTGGATCAAGCTCAAGTATTTTTGATTAACAAAGTGGATTCTGAGCTGACCCAATATAATCTCCCTCCTTTTTTCCCCATTTTCTATTCTGGCTACAGTAGGAAATACAAAGCAAAACAGCACAAAAACTAATCAATAGTATGCAAAATCCCATGCAGGAGATACCAACAAAGCTAAAATTTTGGGCAATTGTTCAGCTTTCTCTTTTCACAGAGAAGTGCTTTATATACAATGTCAAACCTTTATCTGACTGACAAGGGGTAACCAGAAGAAATGGGAGTACAGCTTTTGAAAAGGATTTCTGGATGCCAAGTATCATCTGTGCCGAGTTATTTTGGAACGATAAATAAAATTCAGATCAAAACAGACAGTTCTGAGTCACAGATATAAGAGGTCATATTCTTTCTTCAATATCCTATTTCACAACATACTTCTTCCTATTTGGCCTGCACTGACAATATCTATTGCTGTTCCCATGTGTGCCCTCTCTGGATCCCTTTACCATCATGATTAGCTTTCCCACATTTTCCTGTTTCACAGATATCCTGAGTGCACAGAGATATTAATTTCATTTCATTTCAACTGAGTGCATCCAGCACATATGGCTTGCAGGACAGAGCCCTAGATTCTCACTTTTCTTCAAATCCCATCTAAAACATATCTTCTTTATTGACTTACCCCGTTTAAATGTCACTTTCCCTTCTGAGCAACTCTCAAATTAAATTATATAACTAAAATTTGCAACTTATTAGGGGGTCAGAGATTGTACAAGAGAGCTACAGAAGATGGTAGAAAATTTCCAATTTGGTTCAAAGGAGAGAATTTTGCAGTACCACAGGGTTCTTTGGGCCCTGAAAGAGTGGTCAGATATTACCATATTTGAATTCTGCCACGTACCTACAAGTCTGCCTGTCCAGTCTTCCTTTGGTCTGTGTCAAAAACAGTGTTATCAGAGGAGACTTTAAGAGTATTCCCCAATCTGAGAGTGAACTAACAGTACTCCTAACCTATTTAAAGGCAAATCTACAAACCCTGTTGAAGTAAGTTAGGCTAAACAATCATAGAGGGGGAAAAAAAAGAAAATAAAAATGTCATTATCAGAGCAATATTAGTAACTGTCTGGAGTAATATTAGTAACTGTGTAGAAAACTTTTAATAATTTAACCATTTAAAAATTAGTTTGGATAATTTGCATAGTACATAGCATGGCACTGAAGTTAAACTCATTACTATTTGTAAAATGAACCAAAATCCTCTGACAGAAGGTGATATAGAAATGCAAGCTCATCGTCTTGTACTCCCATTGTTCTATCTGCAGTCAGGAAGTTTTATGTGACAGTACAACAAGGCATAATAATATATAGTGTCTTAGATGTCCACTGGGATTACAGCATATCTTAAACTTCTTAAATTTTCTGAAGATCCACACAAGTCAGATCAATAAACTTAAGAATAGGTCAAGATGTCATTAGGAAAGCATTCAAATACAGCAGCCCCATTGTGAACAAAATAATAAATATATATTCTGGTCCAAGCCACTATTGCAGTATCAAATCAAAGATACAGATGTGACACATTCTCATAGCTCTACTGCAATAAAATGTCTTATCTGAGGGTTTTGGGGTTTTTTTCACTCTGTTGTATTTTACAAATTCTATGGCTGAACAATTTTCACAAAAGACTCTCCTTTCTTACAACATAGATAGCACAATTCTCAAGATGAGTTAGTTTATTTGAGAACAAGCTAGAACTGGTCAATACCAGGTTCCTAGAAGAAATCTTACCACAATCCCAAAAAAGGAAAGATGTGACCGCTTCCTTGTTTAATCATATTTTGTTTTTAAACAGATTCTTCTCAGACTTAGGCTTACCACGTATTCAGCGACGACACCTTTGTAGATCTCATAAAATTCTTCCACATTTGCACGCTCCATGTTGAACTAAGAAAACAAAAATGTTAGCCAGTCTGCCTTAAGCAACAAAAAAAATAGACAGACACCCCTTCTCAACCAGCAAATATTCAGAATACTTTACATTTTACTAGGTAAAAGGAATGGCTTTACAGCTGCAATACGAAGTTTGTCAACAACTTAGCCGATGATGCCACAGGCAACACAGCACACAGTATCTTCTTCCACCTTAAATATATGTAGACAATGTAGTGTTGGCTGATGCCACCAAGACATGCAAGAGGATCTGTTTGTTGCATAGTAAAGGAAAGGGGCTATTCTTCATTTGTGGTGGGGATTTGAGTCATAGGGGGATTTCAGATCTCAAGACTTTCACAAAAATCAAAGGGCAGGACTTACAGGACTACTCTTGGGAACAATCTCGGTGCCAACGTTCTTTAACTGCTGAGGGTGATCAGGGTGTCAAAATCCTTTAGGTACCTTTAAAAACCTTCCACTAAATTCACACTAAATATATATTAAAAAAAATTGAGGAAGGATATTAACAACCATTTCTCTAATCTTAGCTAGCACATTTTGTAAAGATATCTCAAATTGCTCCAAAAAGAGACAGATATCATTATCCCCCTTCTAACTATAGGGAAAATGAGATATACAGAGGTAAAGTGTCTTGGCTCAAGGTCACCCAGCAACGAGAAACAGATCAGCTGATCAATCAAATAATAAAACACAAATATCACAAGGACAGTGCTGATCCCAAAACATTGCTACACAGTCTGCAGAAGGGTTTTGTATTGCAGAAAAACACCCGTGCATTGATGTGAAATGCACACAGCACTTCTCCAACTTCTGTTTATCAGAAAAAACATACACAAAAGGAAACCTACCATCTGCAAAGCTGAGATCTGAAATCCTTCATTGATGATGGCTTTTATAATCTTTCCAACTAGCCCTGAAGAAACACGCAAAAGACAGTATTCAGCAGAATTTACAACTGGAAGGTATTTATGCCAATATACCACTTATTTTCAAACAAAAAACCCCAGTGTTTGCGTAATGCTGTGAGAGGAAGCAGAGAGTACAGCTGAGTTCACATACTCTATGCTCTATCTAAAGTGACATGTTGACGATTTCAAACAATTAAATTCCATGCAGCCGTTGAATCTCTACCAGAAAAAGGTAATTAGTGAAGCCTTTGCTTTTCTCAGATCAACTGCAAAATACCCAGTTGCTTCAAGATCAAGATTTATATTTTTAATTAAGTTCCACTGGCAACACTGATGCTTAAACAGTAATCAGTTTGGGGCACAGGCTGCCTATTTTGCTGTTCTTATACAGTGTTCACCAGAGTGGGGGTCCTACTTTAAGCTAGAAACAATGCAGGATGATAATAAATATTCCCAATAAACCAGCACAAAAGTTCATGTCTTCTAGGGGAAAAACACGTTAGTGCAAAATAAACTACTGCTTCTAAGGTTATAACTCACAAGTATGTTATTGCTGATCGTACTGCTTGCTTCATTCTCTCCAGAATGCATCCTCAAAGACTGAATGACATTGTAAAAAAACACATTAAACTTCAGAGAACAAGAACCACTGAATGTGTATTTTAGATTTGCCTGTGCTTACAAGATCAGGCCATTTGAAAGATTATGTCAGCCAAGCACAGTACTCTGTGAGAGTGAATTTCATAGAATCACTGTTTTTATAGAATGTAAATGCCTGTCCTTTAGTACAATTTGTGAGAAAATACATATTTCTGGACATTTATTCAGAGCAGAATTAATCATAGAAGAATACCTTGTAATGAATGACAACAGCAGGATTTGACTCCTGGTCATTAAATCCTTTTATTAACTAGTCTTTAAATTGCACGAATTTTTAGCACTGCATAAATTTAGTAGATGAGAATAAAACACATCTGATATCTAGGTTCTAGCACGCTCAAGACCTAAATTGTACACAGTCTGCTAATACCTGTGGCAGAGGACTGGTGAGCTTCCTACCACATGAAAAGGTCAGTGGAAGCTCTGAGTAAATGAGACAGATAGTTGGAGGGCTTTCAAAAATTGTATTTACCAATGAAAATGAAAAAAGCTGTCCCTGAAGTATCCCCCACCATATTTTCACATTAAGGTTTATGTAGAAAAAATCTTCTACATATAAAACAGTGCATACTTCTTCAAAAAAATCTACAAACTACTAAAGGGAAAACCTCAGATTTTGGTACATATTCAGTCCACGCAGCTCCTTGAGCTTACAGAATGTAGAAACAAGTGGAGGCAGGTGCAGTTCCTGCCATCCCACTATACTGTTACACCATGGCTCACTAGCACTGACAAAAGTTTCCTTATAACACTCCTGTGAAACCACGAAAATATTTTTCCTCTTTTTTTCCAAGGTGAAAAAAAATAATTGCAGCAGCAAAATGAAGGGACTTGGACAGGTTTGCCCAGGAAATGCAAGACCATGTCGGAGAGAGAAACCAGATGCCTAGTTTCTTTTTGTCCACACTGCTGGAAAGGCTGAGCAGCTCAGACGCTTCCACACACAGGTTCTGGTGAAGCAGCCAGCCTAGAGTCTTGACTTGAGGGATGAATGGCCAGTTTATAAAGTGACTGGCTGGGGATCATTCAGGAAATAAATAAATGAATAAATAATCTGTGACAGAGCATAAACATTTCCTCATTCTTGATTTTCAGAGCCAATACTCCAGTCAACAGCCACTGCTTCACAAGAAACCAAGAGAGGGAAGAAAGGGCAGTGGCAGACAAACGACAACCGCCACCTGCAGGGACAAGGCTACCTTGGTATGAGAAAGCTGCTTTGCAAGACAGATCTCCAGATCTCTTTACACTTTATCAGTCAAGAATGGGCCACTCACATAGGCCTTCACAGCCGGCAAGAATCTAATTAAAATACTCATCAGTTATCAGGTTCTGGGGTACTATGGAGATCTGCTTTTTACAGAACTTTCGTCCTCGGCAGTTTTACGAGCTGTAAGCAAAATCCATGTTTTAGAGAAACAAAGGGGGACCCAAATATTCAGCTTTCTGGGCTGTTTCTCTATTGAAGTAATTAAGATTTTTCTTCTCTGTAGAGAGGAGACAGGCTCCTTTAATGATAGAAATCAAAGTAGGAATGTATTTTGCATAAAGATCTTTACTACAAGGTTCATTTAATAATTAACTGTGATAAACTTATCAAGATTTTCCTCTACATTGTATTCCTGAGTTCACTCTCACTCATCAGAGCAACAGGGCACCTTGTTGCTCCAGACAGATTGCCCACGACTGCAACACCCAGGAGGCTTAACCAAAGGAATTACTGTCACCATCATACACAGATAGATGTCTTGCCAAAAAAATTCAAAGCGCCTTGAAGAAGAGGCATGAGATTTCATTTATGTTTGCAAAGCGGGATGTTAGCTCCACTTCCCAGATGTGGGAATTGAGGCACAGGAGGAGAAGCGAGTTGCCAGTGGCAGCACAGATCTACAAATCCAGTGACTTGGCCTCCCTTGTCCCAGTTTCGGCAATACACATATCACTTCTCCTAGGGACATTTTCCTTTCAAATTCTACCTGAACCAAAATAGAAACAAAAAGCATAGAGGCAATCCCCAAGCAACAGAAGAGTGGAAGCGCAAGGCTCGGCTTGGGATCTCTTTCAGGCTTTCAGCCAGTTGCATGACTGAACTGGGAGGTGTCCTCTCCCTTGTGGGCAGATAAGGCTGAGGAAAAGAAGAACTGATTAGACAGAGTGCCATTTCAGCAGCTTTCGACAATTTGTTTTCAACTTTAAAATCCAGATCTGTAGTGAAAAAACAACTTTTTAAGGACCCTTCAAACAGGACCAGTGCATGTTTAAAATGTGATTACAGTAAGAACCCAAATCAAAGCTGCAGATTAGGCACTAGTTATGATGAATTTTCAGTCACAAAGCACAAAAGAATCAGAAGCATTACTAAATACAACTGGGGGAATTTAGTACTAATCCTAACAAACATGAGAGAGAGAGAGAGAGCGCGCACACGTGCACACACTTTATGTCTCCTAGGCAGCATCATGTTACTACGCATCTAATACACAACAGATATTCTTCCAACATATTTTAATCAGATAAAATTGTAAGGCACCAAGACCTCATCAGTTACATTGATCTTCTACAATTTGTTGCTTTACAACACACAATATTTGAAAATTGTACTTCATTAAGCAGCAGAAAATAGCAGTGAAGGCATCAGACTGAAAAATGTTACAACTGTTTGCAGAATTATGGATTGGGATAAAACAAAACAGTTCATGAAAGTCACTTTTAACCTAACAGCACTTTAATCATTGGGATGTAACAGCTGTGTTACCAGGACCTGCCAGTCCCAGCACACTATGAACCACCAGCCCTATGACTAGGGACGTTACATTCTCTTCCCTTTGTTCTTGGCCTGTTTCCCAATTTAACCATTCCACCGTTAAAAGCTTATTAGGCAAGACTTATTAGACTGCTTTCAAAGCAAGTCAAGAACTAGCTTCCTCATCTCAACCTCTATATGTCATTTTTTTAATACCCTTCCAATAATTAAAAAGAATTCCTCTGGAACGACAACAGTTTTTTGACAGGAATACACAAACTGCTGTGACTGATTAGACCAATGATCCACCTAATCCAATAACATATTTCTAGAAGTAACCAGTACCAGGTGCTTAAAGTAGCACTAACTATACGTAGCAATTTCATTTCATGCCTGTTTTTGACATTTTAAAATGCAATTTTGCTTCACAGTATAATGAAATTATCTGATTCTTTATTGCCAAGTGTTAAAGTCCTGTCCCAAAACTCCAGAGAATCACGATCAGGCTTGACTCCAAGCAAAGTCCTTTCTGAATTCCAAAAGAGGAAAAAGTGGGACTCGGAGCTGGGCCCTCCTGCAATGTACTTCAGTTGAAGTTCTCACTAATCTTTGTTTCAGACAACATTGCAAAACACTGTGCAGTAGGAAGCTGACAGATGTCCTTCTCAAAAAGTGCACTTCTTCCCATCAGCCGATCAACCTACCCCCTGAAGAACAAGGTTTATCCATCTCTTCTCTTAGAGAGTTTTTTCTACTTAGAAATAACGTAACTCTAGGCATTCTTACTATGCAACATATATACGCTATTTCTAGACTCCCCAAAAGTTTGGCCATAGTGATAATCTGCAGCTATTGATCTCCCAGCCTTGCTGTGTACTGTATGAAAAAAGATATCCAGTCATTTTTGTATTTGTACTCTGGAGCACAAAGAAGTGAGTCACAGAGGGTCTCCTGAGCAACACACACTGGGCCAACAGAGAGGAGAAGGGGGGCTCAAAAGCTACCTAGCCTAACCATGAGGTGCAAAAAAGTACAAGTGGATGCAGACAGAAGATAAAGAGGAACATGTGAGGAAATGATGAGAGAATATTGTTCATAGTGATAGAATCCAAGATTTTCCATCATTCCTCATTTCTCTCTAGGCATTGTATTAAAGAAGAACCTTAAGAAGTTTGAAGGGCGGCTTTACAGATATTTATGGAGAACTCTGTCAACACTGCAGCACTGGTGAGAATCTTTACAAACAATATTCATCTGAAAATACTAAAAGGATGAAGACAAAAGATATCACCACTGCTTTACTGGAGAATAGAAGTCAGCATTTTGCTAGCACAAGAAAAATCATGCATAGAGACAGTAAATCTTATAGGGGACCTTGAAACCAAAACGGTTGAGCGACTGAGAATGGGAACCAACAGAAAGATTCAAAAGGGGTGGAAGGTTCAAAGACTTAATCCCAGCTGCAACTTTCTGAACCACTATGAACAAGGCAAGACCACACTTGTGAATGCCAGACAGGGCATTAAGACACAAAATGATGAAAAACTGTAGGGAAAAAAAACAGTTCTGGGAGTTCTTGCATGGGAACACATGGAAAGAGTC